TGACTGGGATGCCGAGGATCACAAAGCGGGTGTGAATTACCATGCAAATTTACATGGTGCCTTCATTGTTACGATCACCTATTCGATGTGCCGGTAAACCACACACGCTCCATCGAACTATGATAAACAATGAATCACCCTTCGCCACCTTCGCTTAGAACCAATTAGTGTGCCGGTAAACCACACACGCTCCACTAACATCTTAGCAAGGTGCAAAGTGTAATTTCATGGATTGCATCAATTCACTTTTCCTAAAGTAACTAAGATTGGGAAATTTAAAAAAATTTAGTTACTTCGTATTTCTTATTATACTTTTAATGAGAGGATGAGGTTGCCCTATCCTACCCGTTCGGCTAACGACCCTCCACCAATCAAGCAAGCGGTGGGTGTGAGTGTACACCCATTAAGCGCCATTTTATAGGCCGCAACCTTATACCCACCTTATAGATCGGCTTCGTGAATGAGGCCTACTAGCGGTAAGACTAGCATTTAGTTATACATATATATATTATTCTAATAATCATATAAGTATAGGGTTGTATTTTAAACTTTTCAAAATCTAGGGTTTGAAATTTAAGTTGTCTAAATTAAAGCTTTTAATCACAAATTTAAATTTCAAAACTATAGGGTAGGTTTTAAACATTTAAAAACATGGAGGATCAAATAACAAATAATTTCAATTAACAATTAATATCTTAATTATCTTTATTTGATTTATCTTTGATTTCTTTGAGATAATTACCAAAATAATTAAAACAATTAATTAATTATCATATAAGAAACTAAATATTTAATTAGTTGATAATTACCTTTAACTAGATCAAGATAACACTTATATTTATCAAAAAATCGGATTCATATTGATCTAATTAGTTTATGGTAAGTTTGGATAAGATAAACACAAAGAAATCCCGAATCTGGCCTTCCTGACGCTTGGACTCGCCGAGTGCACAAGGGACTCGCCGAGTCAGGCCTACTCGACGAGTCCACCTTGGAACTCGACGAGTCAGTGACTCAAAACCAAAAAATCGAATTTTGCAGGTTTGTTTCAGTTATTCAAGCAACAATTTGTAGAAAACCAATCTAGGCTCTGATACCACTGTTGGGTTTTAGCCATAAGAACTTTCCTATGTGCGCATGCAAAACCCTATTGCTTGGATCTAGGCTTTCTATAAACATGCTTTTGAATCCAAGACTTCTAATGGCTAATTAGGTTAAACAACAACATTAATACAGATCTAGAATCATACCTTTGAGTTCCTTGTTGATCTTCTTGTCTTGGAGCTTCTAGAGTCACAATTGTCACTCCTCTAATGGCTTACAAACACCAATAGCAAGCAAGATGATTTAGGAGAGAGGAGAGGGGATGGAATTCGGCCAGAGGTTCCTTGCTTTAGGTTCTGAAAGTTGTACACGAATTCCACACCCCAAGGGCCTATTTATACCTTTAGACTCCTTAAGGGTTTCACCCTAAACCCTAATTGGATAATCTTCACTTAAGGCTATCCAAATCCATTCCATAGATATCCTTATGGACTATTTTGAGCTATCCTAAAGCTCTTAGAAACCGTCCAAAGTCCATCCTAATGGATTTATAGTCTAAAGTCTAACTATCAAACAATTGACAGTTTATACCCTCTTATTTAATTAATCTCTTTAAGTCACCAAATTAATACCAATTAATTTATGACTTATATTAATCAAATAGCTAAATATTATTCCTTATAATATTTACTCTCTCTTAACAAATCATCCTTCAAGTTGCTATGGTGAAGGCAACCCAAAAGGACCATGCACCACCGAATATAGTTATAGCCTTAGACACTATTCCAACAGTAGTGAGGCGCCGAAAATCGCGAGAG